GATTCTGGGTAGGGAGGCCTGGCCTTCCAGTCTTTGCTCTGAAGCTGGTTTCCTCTCAGGAGAGTTTATAGCGCCCCCTGCTGTCCATTCCTGGGAGCACATCGGAGCATTTGGGAGAAGAAAATGAAAAAAAACAAAGCACCCATTCCCGTTTGCTGACCAGTGTCTCCAAAATACTGACTCATCACATGACTCTCATGACTGAAATGTCCCCGACGTGCTTGCCATCCTTGTCCCCGCTGTCCCCCTGTAGCGCTCACCTGCTACCTCTGGGAAGAGACTGCAGGAAGCATGCTGGGCAGGGCTGCCACCTGCTGTTCACACTGGGCGCTGCAGGCAGACAGCCTGTCCAGGCTGGCGCCTGGGCTCCTGGATCAGATTCCTGGGGGCAGCCTTAGGACCCCCAGATGTATCCTTTCCTCTGGCTGGAAGAAAGCAGGGCCCCCAGGCGCCCCTGTGTCCCTGTGGGCGTCTCTAGGGGAACAGCTACAGGGCCCTGATAGCCTCTGGGCACATAAGCCCCCTCTAGTCCAATCAAGCCCGCAGAATAATGTTTTAAAAGCATATGAAATAATAGGATTACAAAGGAAACCAGTTATACTGAAATACGGATATCAAAACGGTGATTGTAATGGATCTGCTCAGTGAAATAAGATGAGCGGCAGGACAATAGCGGCTGATTTTGAAGACACCATCAGCACCGATGATCCCGTGAGATCCCCAGCAATCAGACTGGTGTGCAAGCGTGTGTGATTTCTACCAACGGCGAAGGCGCAGCAGCTGCTAACACCACCACCGATCTTTGCCTGTAATTACCGTGAAAGGAAGTGCACGATGTGATTAAAGGCTTGTGACATTCAAGATGTAATTTCTCCCGTGAAAGTTCATGAATTCTCCCCATGGATCCCTTGGGTGTCGGGCACCCCAGGTTAAGAGCCAATGGCCAGACCCTGCCTGGTGGCCCCAGCTCCCTGGCCAGGCAGGTCCCAGCCCCACTTGCTTCTCCAGCCCTGGCACACCCTCCATACTCCAGCTGCCTCCTCCACCCCTTCTGATCCCCCCTCCTCAGTACGGAACAAGGCATCGTCCTCAGAAACCAGTCCCGTGGCTTCTGGCTCTGATGATGGACAGGCAGCAGAGCTGATTCCTCAAACGCCACCATACCTTGGGGCAGCTCCAAGTCCTCCAGGCTGGGAAGGACCCGCCCCCCCACTCCCCCAGACAACGGTCCCTCTCTCCAGGGTACAGGAGAGAAGATCCAAACTAGGGCTTCCTCTTTGGACAATCTGGGGAGACCCTGGGTCCTTTCTTTAGAATATCCCCTTTCTTCTTTTGAATTCTAGACATGGTGAAGACATGAGTTTCTCTTGGTTGGGGGGGGTGCATTTCCCACCCTTCTTTCCTTGGTGATATTTAATGAGCACCTACTTGGTGTCAGGCATTGTTCTAGGTGCTGAAACTAGACTAGTGAGCACAGTAGGCAAAGGCCCTTCCTCTTGGAGTTTTTCTTTCACAGAAGGAGACGGATGAAATAAATAAATTAGTAAAAGTAACAGAATGTTAGGAGGTGACCCGGGCTTTTAGGGGTCGGGGTGTACGATGCGGGCGGCAGGAGTGCTGGGTCAGCCTCACTGAGGAGGCCACACTGAGCAGATGTGAAGGTGAGTTAGGAGCCCTGTGCACGTGTGGGGAAGAGCATCCGGCAAGGGAATAGCCAGAGCAAAGCCCTGAGGAAGATGGAGTCATAGGATGCTCTGCAGGGTTAAGGTCCTCAAGGTCAGAAGGTTAGGTCACACAGGCCCTGGGGCCACTGGAAGTCCTCTGAGCGGGGAGAGGATCAGGGCTTTGGGCGGAGGAGGACATGGGCCTGGTGTGGCTCTGAGGCCGCTCTGGCCGGGTGAGGGGACGTGGAACGGGAAGGTTCTGTGGGGGGTGGACAGGGCAGCAGAGACAGGAGAAGTGGTTGGATGCAGCATCTGGTTAGAAGGACTTCCTGTTGGACGGGTGGGACTGACAGACAGAGCTGCCAAAATGGACACGGGGAAAGCGTACGTGTCCTGTAGCCGCCGAAACAAATACCACAGACTGGGAGGCATCAAACAACACAATCATATATCCCCCCCTCCGCCCCCAGACCTGGAGCCAGACATCTGAAACTGAGGTGCTGTGAGCTGAAGTGTCCTTCCAACATTTATCTGTGAAGCCCTCACCCCCAGCTCCTCAGAACACGGAGACAGGGCCTCTAAAGCGGGGACTCGGTTCAAAGGCCTTTAGGGTGGTCCCAACCCAATCTGACTGGGGTCCTTATAAGAAGAGATTAGGCCCTGACCGGTTTGGCTCAGTGGATAGAGCGTCGGCCTGCAGACTTAAGGTCCCCAGGTTCGATCTGGTCAAGGGCATGTACCTTGGTTGTGGGCACATCCCCAGTGGGGAGTCCTGGTTGCCATCCCCCGTGGGGGGGCGGGGGTGCAGGAGGCAGCTGATAGATGTTTCTCATCGATGTTCCTAACTCTCTATCCCTCTCCCTTCCTCTCTGTAAAAAAAATCAATAAAATACAATTTTTTAAAAGAAGAAGGAGGAGGAGGAGGAGGAGGAGGAGAAACAGCAGCGATTAGGACACAAACACACAGAGGGGCGACCAGGAGAGGACACGGGGAGAAGGCGGCCTTCTATCAGCCAAGGAGAGACACCTCAGAGGAACCAACTCTGCTGGCACCTTGATCTTGGACTTCGGCCTCCAGAACTAAATAGATTTTTGTTAAGTCACCCAGTCTGTGTCCTTTGCTGTGGCGACCTGAGCCAACTAATGCTACAGGCACACCTCGGAGAGTGTGTGGGTCTAGCTCCAGAACACCACAATAAAGCCAGCCGTCATCTTTCTGCTGGCGAAGGGTCTTGCCTTCCATTTGTAAAAACCGCGCCATTTGTGAAGCTCAGTAAAGCGCCGTGTGCCTGTACACGAGTCTGCCTCGTGCCTCTCCCAGCTTCTGGGGGCTGGCAGCTGACCACCAAGTGTGGGTCAGGGGAAGGGTGCACGTGCCAAGAACGCTGAAGTCCCAGGAAGTTCTCTCAGTGGCTTTGCTCACTCGGTGGGGTTTCCCAGAGTGGTACAGCAGGGGGCAGGGGAGGGTCCATTCCCACCCGCTAGGTGCTGTCGGGAGAGCAGAGGCAATGGAGACAAAAGAGAAAGATAGGGAGGGTGTGGGCCCACCCAGAGGTTTTCAGTCAGTGTGGTCCTGGGTCCAGCAGCGTCAGCAGGAGTCTCGTTAGAAATGCAGCATCACAAGCCCCACTCCCCCTCCCCCACCCCGTCCCGAATGAGAACATGTCATTGAACCAGCCCTCCCATGACTGTCATGTATGTACCTCCGAGTTCAAGAAGCCTGCAGGAGACGGGGGTTCTCACACTTGATGCCCTGGAACCCCGAGGGCTGTGGAAACAGGTGGCTGCCCCTCCAGGTGCTGAACCAGGTGTGGGCCGGGCCCAAGGATGTGCATTTTCAACAAGGGCCCAGGCGTGGCACATTCCCACTCTGATCTGGATCTGCCCGGAGCACCAGACTCGGCTGCACATTGGTCACCCGAGGGCACCTGGACCCACCTCTGAGAGACCCTCATCAGACCGTCATCATGATGCGGCCTGAGCGGCAGTTTGAGAATCACTGGCCCGGTCCCGAGGCCCCAGACAGCAGCTCCTTCCAGACCACTTCACCAGAGAACACGCCAGGGACATCCCGCCGCGGCCAAGAACCACTCCCACGTCACGCGTGGGAAAGAAAGCGCTCGGCCGCCCAGCACATGGGTGGTTATACTCACAGCACACGAGCTTTATTCAGCAACAATGGCAGTGTTTCATGAGGATGAGCTGCACGACTGTGTTTTCTGTGCAAAGTCTGAGAGCAAACAATTACAGCAACAGAGCCCGGCCCCCATGCCCTGCCCTCCCCCCGCCAAAGAGGCCCACGTTGCTCCTGGCACCCCTGCACAGTGGGCTGGGGCCTCGTGACTCTCCTCTGCACCCATCACCTGCTCCCTCCCCCTTCTCTGCCAGCCCCAGCCACCGGGCTGCAGGGGAGAGGCCTGGGCTGGTGTCCAATCCTTCCTTTTCCTTCTCAAGGCCCCTCTGGGGGCATCTGGGCAGCAACACCACCTTCCCCTCCAGGGATCCCAAGTCCCCACTCACTCAACTTCTCTTTTGTTTCAAGGCCTTTTCCTCAATGGATGTTAACAGGGTCTCAGTAAAAGAAAGTGCTTTTCTGAAGCACTTCCCACTCACCAAGTATTAGCCCTGCCCCTTCCCAGCCCCCAGTAAGCAGGCAGGGGACAGGAGTCCTTAGAATGGGACCAGGTAGGTGCAGAAACCACTCACAAAGGGATGAACCAGGCCCAGGAGCTATTGGGGCCAAGTGGAGGTCAGATTTCATTTTGGTTCTAATTCAGGGTACATCCCAGCAACCGATTGAATACGAAGATCACCCGAGATATCTGTGTGACCTGTGTGTGTGTGTGTGCGCGCGCGCGTGTGTGTGTACGCACACGCACATGCTTGTCTCTATGCGTGACCTTTTGTGATGTATCCCTAATCGTTTGTGACCTTTCTCCTAGGTCTCTGACCCAGACAGGGGTGCTTGGGGGAGGAAAGCTCAAACCACACGTGGCCAGCAGTCATGCCAACATGGGACGATCAGGGAGGGACAGCCAAGCACACCTGGAGAGAGGAGGTACCCAGCCTTTTCAAAGGTGAGGGGATGGGGTTGACTTGAGAGGGGCTTACAGCGGTGGCTGGGTTGACAGATGGGCAGATGGCTGGGGGATGGTGACTGAGGGGGCTTGTGGCAGCAGCTGGACTGTACAGATGGACAGCTGGCCAGGGCAGATGGCTCCGCACACATGAACCCCTCCTGCTGGGTGGCATGCACCACCTGCCGAAAGCGTGGAGTTGGCAGTTAGTTAAAGCGGAGGCTGAGTGGGGAGTGCTCACACCGTGTAAGTTTTGACAGACTTATAGAGGGGTGGCAGCAGCCCGTGGTTCTCACGGACGACCTCCAGGTACTCAGACGGGGTCTCCAGCAGGAAGGGCACGCAGCACATCTGGCAGCACTTGGCCTCAGTGGGTGGCTCTGGGTTCTTGTCAGACATGGGGGAAAAGTCAAAATCAGCCACCTATGATGAACAAAACCCCATGGGTCAATCACCCACCCACCAGGAGCCCCGTTAGGTGGCCTTACGAGCTCAGCTGCCTAGTGGCAGCATGCACAAAAACCTTTCTGGCACCACACAGCATGCCACTGTGTCTTGGGCTTTTCTGCTTCCTGGGGTTCCCTCTTTCAGTGTCCCTCTCCCTTACTAGCTCCTGGGCACAGCTGCCAGGCAAGAGCTAAGTCAGATGAGAAGAAGCCAAATCAACAATTTTGCCTGGTCTGTGGATGCCTCATGGGCACATCTCCCCGAACCCCAGGGTCTTGCACTGGATCCAGACCCTTCTAAGCCCTCTGGCCTTGCCCCCATGTCTCTCCATACAACCTCTCCATCATCATCCTCTCAGGGCCTAGAGGTCCAACCTCCCACCCCTCTTAGCACCCACCTCCACCATGTCCTTCTGCTGAGTAGTATTCCTCAGGGTCATGTACATGATAAAGGCCAGCATCATGGTGATAATTGTGGCACAGGGGAAAGCAAAGACAGCCGGCTGGATTCCTGGGAGTGAGAAAGGGTGAAGTCATGGACCCAGGTAGTCAGCGTTGAGTGCTAACTCTCAGGAGGCCGCAGCAGGAGAGAAAAATTAACCCCACCGGAGCCTTTTTCTTATGTACACGCATCCCAAATAGGCAACTTCAAAAGGAAAATCCAGGATTTCACAAAAACCGAGTTGCATGTGGCAACAGTGCTGTGACAGAGGTCACGTGCTGGGGAGATGGGGATAAACGGGAGATGGGGATCTTGGTGGCGCATTTCGTGTGGGCGTGTTCATGTTGTGGACATGTGTGGCATTGGTAATGTGGCAGGGACATTGGTGACAATGGTGGTGGCACCTAGAGAGCTGAGACGCTGGGGCGCATGGCAGTGGTGGCCCTGGTCCAAGTGGCATGGGCCTGGCAGGAGGGGTGTTAATGGCAGTGCTGAAGGGAGCAGCAATTACAGAGCTGTTCGCTGGTTCTGGGCATTGTTGGGAGGTGTTGGCAGTGCATGTGGTCACAGTGCTGGTCAGCTGGGCTGGTGGTGCGGAGCTGGCTGTTGTTACTGCTGGTGGTGGTGTCAAGGGTGGCGTTGTCCCACAAGGGTGGACAGAGCTGCAGAGGTCAGCAGCCAAGGCCCAGCCCTCCAAGGGCTCTCCTGGGGAAGACTGGCCCCCTACCCCCACGGGGACAGGTCAGAGGGAAGCACCATCTAGAATGGACGGTGCTAGAGCTGGCTGTTGGTGGCGCTGGTACAGTTTGGTGCGAGGGGGTATGGGCAGTCATCAATGGTATTGGTTGATCGGTAGGGTTATTGGTGTTATTAGTGTTGGAGGGACTGGCTGCTGATGGCATGAGCAGCGTGGGCTGGTGGCAGGGGTGGCTGGGTCTTGCTGCCTGTGTGGTTCTGAAGCAGAAGGGAGGTGTCACTTACTGGAGGGCCACACCTGGACCCTGTGGTACTGATGTGTCTTGCTGATGACATTCTCGGCCCGGATGCTGAAGCAGTAGTCCCCAGGGTCCATGATGATGGTGGTCACGTTGTAAACTGTGCTGGCCACGGACACCGGGTGACACTCTTGTTCCTCCAGTGGGAGGCACTCGGACTTGATGCGCCAGCACATGGTCAGAGGGGGGCTGCAGGGAAATGTGGGCCGCGTTTCAGAAGAGGCTCAGCAAAGAGTGTGGGCACAGACCAAGGCCAAGGAAGGCCAGGCTGCCAGGAACTCCACGTCCTTTCCAGACAGAACCCCCAGCGGTCCTGGCCTCACACCTTCCAGACTGGGGAGCAGCAGTGGATAGAGGTGGGGACTCCGAGGGGATTCCAGGCCGTGAGGCAAGCAGCCTGCGCGGAGTGCTGGCGGAGGCCGAATGAATGCCCCAGTGATGTGCAGGCGCACTGGGCAAGCCTCCTGGAGGAGGTGGCACTGAGGAGGATCCAAAAGGGTACGTTGGCTTGTGATTGGTTTAAAGGGGACGAGGGCATTTCATGCCGTTTGCCTGCGCAGCACAGGCTCCGAGCTGGGAAACGCAGGTCTAAGGAGCCCATTGAGAATTCCCATCTCACACAACCCCAGGCTCGTGTAAAACACACACACGAGCATCAGGCTGCCAAGCCCCTGGCTTCCCAGCCTGTTCTCCAGGTTCAAGCCCCACAACCTCCTGAAGGCCTCACAAGCCCCCTCCAGCCCCACGGCGTTTCCTCCTCCTCCGCTCATTCTCCCTCAAGCCCTGCCTCCCTCTGACCTGTCCCGTGGGGGAGGGAAGTGGTCTTTCCCAGGAGAGCCCTGGCTGCTGCCCTCTGCAGCTCTGTCCACCCTGTGGGCAAACACCCCGGCCTCTGCCTTGTCGCTTATTACACTCTCAGCTTAATGCTTTCTTGCCAAGAGCTGGGCCCCGTCCTACCAGGATGGCTTGCTTTCCGGGGGCTGGAATCACATACGGGGGCCTTTCATGCAGGGGTCCCTTGTCGGTCTTTGCCCTCATGCCCACACTGCAGACAGCCCGAAAGGCCAGTGCCCTCTCCCCTGCACCCTGAGAATGGAGCTGTGCCCACAGCTCTCCCATGGCACAGCCAAGGGGCTGGGTGGCCCTGGCTCTCCAAGACCCCCCAGACTTGGGGCCCCTCAGGATATGGAGCAGGCTCAGGACATCTGTGGGAGAGAGTGGCAGGGCCACAGGTCACACAGTGCACTCTGGGATCACTCACCTCCCCAGGAAGTTCAAGGTCACTGTCATCTCCTGGAAGGCCTGAATTTCAGTGGGCCCCATGACCTGGATGCCTCGAAGGGTTTCTGAAAGGCAGAGGGCCCCGTTAAACCTGTGGCTAAGGACAGATGTCTCGGGGCTCCCAGGCCCGGGCTGTGTGAGCGCCTCTCTTGCAAAAGCCAGGGAGAGCGGGTTTCAGTGTTTCCTCCCCATGCGCTAGACTGAGGCAGACCAGCGCGCCTTGTGCCCTTGACCAGAGGCTGATGCGGCCGGGGAACAAGAAGCACTGAACCTGCACCCCCCCAACCCCCCACACCTCCCAGACTCACCCTGCAGCTTCAGCGAGCCCGAGAAGTGCCCCGTCTTCTGCACGATGCCGTTCCCGGCAGCCAGCGCTGCCTGTTCCCACTCCGCCACCACTTTGAGCTTCACGGTGAAGGTCCCCATGATCGAACGGTTATAATAGACAGTAGAGTCTTCCGTCACCATCTGGGTGCTGTAAGGTGACAGGGAGGAGAGAGATGACAGAAGTGACTCACATGGCTTCTTAGAGGCAGGGTGGCTGTACAGTGACCGGCCTCACGAGCAAGCCTGCACCACGGCAGCCGCCTCCGAACCTCAGCATGGCTCACGGACACATGTTTGTTAGGCTGAGGCCATCAGCCCTCAGAGCCCGCATACCGCTTTCCAGGTTCATCGAAGGCTCAGGAGCCCTCCCCACCCACCCTCCTGGCCCCATGGGACTCACAGGCTCAGGGGTTCGGGGGACTCAAGTGGGTGAGGGGTCTCCGCTGAGCACCAGCCTTGCATGAACTTGGGGTGCCTATGGGCTGCCTGGGCTCACTCACCAACCTGCCCCCTGGAGCTGGCTTGTTTGGAGAGGAGGAATATGGAGAAATGAAGCCGGAACAGGTCCCTCCAAAGTCAAATGGAGAAAAGTCCTGCCAACCTTCCTCAAAGAACTGTTTGGGGCACCAGTGACCTCCTCTCCTAGGTTGCAGGCACCTCGAGGCAGGTCCCAGGAGACTCACCACGGTCCCCACGCACCCCAACTTTGTCAGCGAGCGGTGCTCAAGGAAAGTTTAGAGTGTGAGAGAGTGAGTGGGTGAAGGCGGGACAGTCCAGGGCCCCCTGCGTGGGACAGGGGGGCCACAACCAGGGGCCAAGGCTTTGGGGCTAGGACATACCCGTCTCCGAAGTCCCAGCTGTAGAGAAAGGAGGCGGTCTTGAAGAAGTTGCTTGGGTCGTGGAGGAGGAAGGAAGTTTTAATGAGTGTCTTGGTGAAATAGGTGCTGGGCCAGGGCAGGGACGCGTTCTGCGAGATGACGAGTTTCCCCACGATGTTCTCTGGGGGAGAGAGACCAAGGGAGGGTGGGCCCACAGAGGTGTCAGGAGGGCGGAGCCAGGAGTGACCTCAGGGGCCTGCAGGCGGAGCAGCCACCCCCCTACCTGACCTTCCAGTTGTCAGAACTGGGGGATGTCGAGAGGGGACCCTGCCGGTCACTGCACACAGAGGCACTCATCCCCCGAGTCATGGCGCCTGCCGTATAGACGGCGTTGAAGACCCACAGCAGGTGGGACGTGCATAGCTCCCGCCTGCCCCCCTTTCAACAGGGCCCTGAACTTTCTGGCCCCAAAGATGCCCAGAATCAGAAGGAAATGCACAGGCTTCGAAAGTGACTTCTGGGACATACTTCAGGGCATTAGAGGAGCCTTAAAGAATGAGCAGCTCTACCGATCGCATCCCTAACCCAATGTGCTGGGTGGGTGGGACCTCCTTTCTGTGTCCTTCTTTTAAAAAAGAAAAAAATTGAAGAGCTGATTTTTTTCCCCAGCACAAAAGCAAAGAGTAAGGTGTGCTCAAAGGCGCTCGTTTGGAAAATGCTGAAAAGTAGAATGAAAATTCTTATCACTCACACACAACCATTGTTGGTGTTTTTAAAGAATTGCGAAGTATTTGTGTGTGCGTGTGTATATCCATATTAAACACAGTTGATCAAACTGGTTATGTTTTGCTTTTTTAAGACATATTTTTATTGATTTCAGGAGGAAAGGAGAGGGAGAGAAGGATAGAGATATCAATGATGAGAAAGAATCCTTGATCAGCTGCCTCCTGCACTCCCTCTACTGGAGATCGAACCCACAACCCCAGCATGTGCCCTGACGGGAAACTGAACCATGACTTCCTTGTTCCTAGGTCGATGTTCAACCATTGAGCCACACCCGCTGGGCTGTGTTGCTTTTTAAAATTTTATAAGGCCCTAGCTGGTTTGGCTCAGTGGATAGAGTGTCGGCCTGGGGACTGAAGGATCCCAGGCTTGATTCCAGTCAAGGGCACATGCCCAGGTTGCTGGCTCGGTCCCCAGTTGGGGGTGTTGCTGGAGGCAGCCGATCAATGATTCTCTCTCATCATTAATGTTTCTATCTCTCTCTCCCTCTTCCTTCCTCTCTGAAATCAATAAAAATATATTTTAAAATAAATAAGTAAATAAATAAATAAAATTTTACAAGCATGAGTGTTCTCCCAGGACATTACGAACTCAATATAAAGGTCATTATTATTCATTACACAAAATATGTCAATGTACTTAACCATTCCCCTCATGGCTGCATACTTAGCTTGTTTATATCTTCTACTATTATGAACACCACTGCAACGAACCCCTCTGTGCATAAAGCATCACACAAATGGAGGGTTACTTCCTGACGATAAGTTATTTAAGAGATTGTGAATTCCAAGAGAGCGGGGACCTTTTGGAAGGCGGGAAGGCGGTGGGGGAGAAGGAGAGAATGAAAATGAACAGTAATGTTTCTATGTTGATCCGCTGCTCTCCAAGGGGTTGTATTCGTTTATACCCCCAGGAGCAACAGGTGCTTCTAAGTGCCCGTTTCAGCACAGCCCTGCCAGCAGTGGGTACCACCATTTTCCGACCTTTTGTTTTTGTTTTGTTTTTAAGATGTTTTTATTGATTTCCAAGAGAGAGGGAGAGAGAGAAACATCAATGATGAGAGAGAATCACTGATTGGCTGCCTCCTGCACTGGGGTTGGAGCCCACAACCCTGGAATGTGCCCTGACTGGAATGGAACCATGACCTCCAGGTTCGTAGGTCAACACTCAACCACTGAGCCATGTGGGCCAGTCTGATCCTTTGTTAACTCAGCTGACCACGGAGGAGTCAGGGGTCTAATGTGCATTTCTGTCATTACCAGCCAGGCCGGATGTTTCCCTGCACCCAGAGTCTGAAGGCCAATTAGCAAACAGGAAAGGTCCCCACCTGTGATGGAGAGGACGAGGCGGCTCCTCGCCACCGGCTGGCACATCTGGCAGTCGGCGGAGGTGACCCACACGGAGATGGGGAAGTCCCCAGGCACATTGCCCACGGCGCGGATGGTGGATCTGAACGCCTCCTCCGTCTTCCCCTTGAGCAGCAGGGGGCTGTGGACCCAGTGGAAGCGGTAGGAGTGCGGGTCGGTGGGCAGGACCAGGCTGCCGTTGTCGCTGGCCACCAGGCTCGCCGTGATGTTCACCTCTGCCCCCGTGGTGGCAGGGCTATCGGCGACGAGGTGAAGTTCATACAGGCCTAGGAGCCCAGAAACACAAACTGCGTTTCAGGAGGGGACATGGCCAGCAACAACACTGCCACCCTCTGGGCTGCCTTCTCTTATTCTACTTGACCGGTGGGGAAACTGAGGCCCAGGTGCTCACCTGACTCGCCCAAGAGTTCATTGTCAAGCTGGGATTCCAACCCGGGCCTGACTGACTCCAAATCACCTGCTCTTTCCAGTGTCCCAGACGTACTATTATCTCACAGAGCCTGGGCGTGGCCTGGGCCTGACCCTCCTGGACTGGCATCTCAGCTGTGAGAAGAGACTGCCTGCCCATGTCGCAGGAGGAACCCCGGCAGCCGCTGCTGACAAGTGCCCATCGCTGCCCACTCCTTTGGACTCGCACCTGTCCAACGAAATGCCCCTCGTCCATGGCCCCGGGGGGGCGGGGGGGGGGGTTCCAGATGCTGTGGCAGAAGCTGCCCCAAGAAGATACGGGGTGTATTTTAAAATGAGGGACCCTGAGCCCCCTGGGATCATACCACTCCCTGTGCTCAGGGAGCAGAACAGCAGAACAGGCTGAGTTCCAGTCTCTCTCCCTCTGGCTGGGAGGCGGCTGGGCTGCGCAAAAAGAGGTGCTCAGATGAGAAACTATCCCCTCCTTCATCCTCATGCTCCTGCCCACCCCCAGGGAAGGAGTGTGGGCCAGAGCAAGGCTGGCAGGGGGCAGGGACGTTCGGCTGGCTGCATGTTAAGGGCCATCCAGCATCTGCAGGGACAGGCACATGTCACAGCGCATGTCAGCACCAAGATGCAGACCCGTTGCCATGGAAATGGAATCAGGAGGGCAGACTCAGCTGGGAGGGAGGATGGGAGCGAGGGGCTGTGCCTACAGCAAAATTGTGGCAGACCCTGGAACAGCTCCTGGGAGACCCCTACCTGTGCAGACACAAAAAGCCTCCCAGGGCATTTTTTCTTAAGCATTTTGTTGTTGCTGTTCATCCTCACCAGAGGATATTTTTCATTTATTTTTTTTTAGAGAGAGTGGAAGGAAAGGGGAGAGTCAAAGAGAAAGGAACATCCTGTGAGAGAGACACATCCATTGGTTGCCTCCTACACACACACACACACACACACACACACACACACACACGCCCTGACCAGGGCCAGGGATGGAGCCTGCCATGGCGATATGTCCTTGACCCTTCCGTCTGAGGGCCGACATTAAGCATTTAAAGCAGAAGTTTCACAGTTCCTGGGCGATGCTGTCCCTCTTCCTGGGGGCTCTGGGAGGTCTCCAGGACATTCAGGCTGAAATGGACCATGAAGACTTGGCTGAAGGAACCAGGCTCAGGCCCCGGTACCCTACCCATCGAAATCTATCTTTGCAGGTTTGGGAGCCTGCGTGACAGAGCAGCCAAGGCCTGGCTAAGAGGGCGCCAGAGGTGTCCCGAGACACCGCAAGCTGAAAGGGCCAAAGCGGAAGGCCAAGTGGTAACTGCACAGAGCAACACCCACCAGCAAGCCCCGGGAGCAACACGTTTTCTCTGACTACACAGTGTGTGGAGCCCTGAACATTCTAGAATATGGCTACCTCAGCCTTTCACCGTGCACATGTAGACAGCCCCAAACACTTCTGGGTACCGCTGAAGTCTGGAGAACACACTGACGTCCAGGGCACAGACCTCCGACTTCAACCCCTGGTGGAGGACCAACACCATGCGGCTGACCCAGACCCCAGGAGGGTGGGATGGGTGTCCGAGCCTCTATTTTTCCCCTGTGGGTTCTCCCAACCCCATTCCCAGCTATTTTGACCATATCATGGGTACAAGAGGCCAAGCCTGGGAACCACACAGGACTTCCAAATAATTAAGTCACTTTTGTGTGTGATTTGGGCCACGTTGATCATTTCTGGACGCGTAAACCTAATGGAGACGAGATTCCATTTCTATCTGAATCTCTGGGGGGAGGCAGGTGATCCTGACCAAGCACAGGATTCCCTTATTTCATCGCTGAGATGCAAGTTCTTATTTTACTTTATGGCTTTCATTGCACGGAATTGCCTTCCTCTCTCCCATTCATTTAAATTGTGTGTGTGTGTGGTGGGGGGGGGGGGGGGGGGTGAATGAAAATGTTAGGTAATATTTAACATTCCCTCCCATAACCGTCCCAACTGCTCCCCACAACTCTCTAATCTGGACAATCCTTTTTCGTCGCAAAAATGAATTCGAAATTTGGTGCTGACTTTGGGGGTCGGGGCGGGGAGGGGTTGTAGATGGTAGAGGAGCGACCAGGGACGTGGGTGGGACCCGCGGAACCTACCCGGGGTCCATTTTGGAAATATTCCCAGAGAGGAAATGGAGGCTGGGCTTTTAAATCGCATCCCTCCGCCCTCCCGCCCCCCCCGCCCAAAGCCAACACAAATCGGGTGAAAGGCTCTCCAGATAAGGAGACGTTTTACAGCAAAACTGCGGCTCCGCGGGCAGCCTGGCTGTGTTCCCTGGGGGGCTGTGACGTGATGGCGAACCCCGCACCTAGCCCGTCTCCCCGCACCATCCCCCCTCCTCCATCGGCTACTAGGTCCCCAAGCACCGGGCTGGATTCGCGGGTTACCGCGCACTGTTCCGAGGGCAGCGCAGGGCCCATCCATGGGTGGCAGCACAAAGCGAGGGGCGCGGGGAGCCCCCTCAAGTGGCGAGGCGACTTCTGGGGAGAACGGTGAAGGGAGGGAGAGAGTAGAGGGGCTTACGGGGGGCGGGGGGCGGAGGGAAGGTGGTGCACGCAGGGGGCACGGGGCCAG